CCCGTTGTGTAGCTTTGTGCTTAATTACAAACAAACGAAATCTTGCAAAAAATGTTTTTATTATTGAATGATATGTACTTCACGTAATAATACAGTTTTGAACTGTTATGAAAACTGTATTATATAAAAATATAATTCACATTTCTTCTGAGAAGAGTGGTATCACTTGCACATTGATAAAATATATATCTATTTTACTTCTTGTACAAAAATATTGAAATTCTATAAACGTTTTTTTTTACTGAAATATATCATTCAGCTTTACTCTTCCCGTTTAAAAATATTGAAAAATCTAAGCCCTTTATTAACAAATTATATAACTCACACTTTGACTTCCTCCCTGAGTTTGAACTGAAGTAAACTCTTTCTTGCGAAATTCTGTAATTCATTTTGTATTTCGTCTATTAGAATATTCAACTGATAAAAAATCACTTAATACAGAATTACATAATCCAACTTTTTGCATCTTTTAGCTAATACAAATATTTTATTAAAAAGTTATATAGTTAGGTTTTGCACTATTAGAATTATTAAACTAACACATTTTTTTTTGTCACAGAATGATAGTAAAATGCGAAACACTAGCTACTTCAGAAACAAAACAAATAGATAAGTTTCTTACGTGAAGTTGTGTCACATTTAAAACGCTATGATAACAAAATAATTATTTTTTTATTTAACAGCTTTATTACTATAAGTATACGGTGTCAAAAATAAATTTTGATGTGTTGTATAAACTAATGAGAAAGGCTCAACGCGCTTTCAAGCTAAAATGCTCCCGAAAACCACAGCGTTGTTAATATATTTTACCCTAAATATTTTCCAACTAAGATATATTTTGTTAGACATTCCGTAACTATACCAGGGCTAATTGTGGTGTGATCGTTGGCCAAACCAGCTATGAGTATTGTATAAGGATGACAGTTATCTAATTATTCAGTTCATAACCAGACAAATTCATTGTGGCGGCGGATGCTTCTGACTGGCTTCTTCCCCTCTGGTCAGGGGTTCAAAGTTATAGACTGGTATTCCTGAACCATAGAGGGTTTTCTGACCTATCCGCTTAGCTCATGAGCGCATAAGGTGTTTGTTTGCTAGTTTGAAATTAAGCACAAAACTACACAATGGGCTATCTGTGATCTGCCCACCACGGTTATCGGAGCCCGGTTTCTAGCGTTGTAAGTCCGCAGACATGCCGCTATGCCACTGAGGGGATGCATAAGGTGTTTTAAAATGTTGAAAATGCCGATATCTGTGATATTATCAGGGATACTGATTACTTAGGAGGCAACATTAGTAAATGCAAAAAATTAAGGAATCGCAGGAAATGTTATGAAGAGTTAAATTGAATTTCCTAACTGACTGAACTGAAGAAAGAGACTGGACATAAATTTGGCAATGAAATAAAATCATTAAAATTTACTTATTTAAAAAAAGGCAGACTGTTACAATACACCAGGTAGCTGTACACGAAACAAAAGATTGGACAGAAATCTATATTACTGTAAAACCTGGATCAGATTGAGAGAAAGATAACCACTATATAAAAAAACAATGATTTCATCTCTCCAAGAGCGCATGCGCTACCCACATCGTTCTTGGTCATCCCATTAGAAAAATATGGAAGATATAACCTCTAGGAATCGCGAAATCTTTTCATGGTTGAACTTGCTATGTAGACCACATTTATACATTACAACGACATCTACCTTGAGAGAATTTTTTTTTATATCAAAGGAGAATGACGCATGAATAACAGCAAATTTGCCATATTTCAGAACCAGTTTTCTATCTCTCGACGTTTAAGGACTTACAACACTAAAATCCGGAGTTGGATTCTTCGAAGTGGACACAGCAGAGAGCTCAATGTGGCTTAGCTCTAAAACAAGCATAACAACAAAATATTCTATTTTTAAACCTATACGCTTCCTTGCTCGCACGTATGTCTAAACTAAAAACAATGAAAAAAACGCCTGATATGTTTTACAAAACACATTTCTTGTTTCCTTGAACTTCAGACCGAATTGACAATCTGTAAATGTAACCTTTAGAGTCCAATAAAATAATAACAAACAAGAAAAACTGCACAATGACTACGAATTTGGTGTAATTTGTGCTTATCTCTGAAGAAAACTTACAGAAAAACACATCTAAGGAACAAGCTCTATAATAAAGATACAACTTCAAAATCAAACTACAATAATTCAGAATACAAAAAAAATTAAAAAAGATTAGCAAACCCACAATTAACTTTCACAATAAATAATAAAAACCCTTTAACAAAGATACAACAGTATACTGCAATACAAAATGTTATAGCACAAAGTACAATATAAAACCTTTTAATCGGCTTTCGATACCCATGGTGGGCAGAGCACTTTGTGTAGCTTTGTGCTTAATAACAAACAACAACACTGTTCTTACCTACACGCGAAACTCCGCACAGTTAACCATATATGTACAACATTATTTACACATATATCCACAATACATATAGTATACATTTATAGCATCCAGCAGGTTACCCAATTGTTCACAGTAACCATGGAAATTAAATCAGATGCTTATTATGATTATTGCTGCCCAACAGCTGTTCTGCATATTACTATACTGTCACCTATAAGCTCAATGCTCTCTGAGCATCATGAAATAAGTAATGAAAGGCACAATGTGGTTGAGTTTAAATTTTTTCAACTAAAATTCACATTGCGTGGATAAATATTTGTGCTTTACACTATAGTATACACCAACACAATCTCAAACCAGTGCAGGCTAAGTGCAATATTCAACAGTAAAGTAAATTCACTATCTTATCCAATTTTCTTTTCCAATTGACGACACAGAAAAAATATATTCAGGCAAAACTAGTGAAACAAGTACTTATATAAAATGATTTTTATCACCGTTTGACCCACACTCTGTCCTGATGAATATCACTATTTCTTTATTATACATATTGTAATAAAAGGCTCATTTACTCAAAGGAGTGTATTTGTAAGTAAATTCTAATTAAAATCCCATTTTCACACACAAGGATGTGCTCAGATAGTTTCTTGTTCAAATACTTAGTTAATGTTCATCATAAATTAATCTGATTGCTCGAAAAGCAAGGATCATTAACTGAGTCATAATAATATAAAACAGCACTCTTAATATCTCCATCTCTGATTCCTAAGCTAACAAGCGCACAAAACAGTGGCATATGGTTTTAGTTGCCAGAACTAAGTCACTTACATTCATCACAATCAGTGCAATCAGACTTACAGAATTCAAAACATTCGCTTGGTAGCCATTATT